TCCTGAAATTTCTTCTTCTTTTCGGAATATAGTAACAACATGAAGCTAGAATCACATGTACATACATACACATACTCTTAAATATAATCCAGTATCACTCCTATATCTTCGTTCACATCTCATTGATGTGATATATACACAGTTAGCCAGTTACGATCTAAGTTTACTTATGATGTGGAGCATAAGGTCTGAATGTGTCACACGATAATTGATTTTTTTTTCTTTTCTAGGGAATGTGTTCTAATCGTATATCAAAAGAGGAAAAGTTAATTAATTTACCCTCAGAAATGTAAACTTTTAAAAATACATAATATATAGTTAAAACACATTATGTAATATTATCAAATCTTTTCATTTCACTCATAAGAAGTTGAATGAGAAGAAATTCTAATGGCCGGTTATGTAGTAGGGGTGATGGACAAATATTTCTATCCGCCGATTTCTTCAATGCGAGAAGTCAACCTGATATTAATGTAGGGTTTGTTTGGTTAAGAAGAGTTGGAACAACAAACGTTGATGGTGTTCCAACACATAGTTTGTTATTGCAACAACCTTTTAGCGTTGTGACAACATCTAGCCAAACAAGAGTTTTGATTTTTGATGTAGTTGGAACAACATGAGGTTCCCACTACACCAAACCAAACAGTAAGTAAGTTCTGCCTAGAAATAGGTAACAACATCATCTTTGTTATCAATCTCATACAAAGTGGACAAAGGAGGAGGAAATTTCCATACAACTTTTACAACCTCCAGCATATAGAAGACACTTTTCCAACTACAATAACTAGCATAAGAAACATCATCAAACTGAGTATAACATCAGAGATTCACAAGTTTCTAGGTAATGACACAATAGTCATGAACCGATTCTGAAATAGTCAATGGTGCTGGAAAAATGCTAGAGTAAAGACAATCAACGTTAAACAGTGAAAATAAACACACATATCAATTAAAAATCAAGAAACATATTATACAACAGAATTCAAAAATCAGCACGCTGTAGAATCATCACTCCCACAGGCTTTCTCGTCAACACCTCATTGTATCATCCCTTGCCGTGCCCAGGTCCAAATGTATTGCATGTGGCATAACTTTACAGGCAAAGCCAGGACTTGATCGATCTTTCCAATGTTAAATCTAACAATTTGATACTGGGGCATCCTTCCTTATAAAAAGTATGGGACGCCTGTCCTAGGTCCCCTCATTTGATTGTTCTCCTCGGTCTCCGTGAAAAACTTCACCTCTCTCTCCTGTTATAATAATAAACACCACAAACTTGTTAAAATTTAATAAACTAAAAAAAAGTTTCTTCAAACAGCCTCATTGCCAATAATAATGTTCAGATAGGACTTCATTTTGTCCAAACACATGAGAAGCACGAAAGGTAGAAGGGAATTAACATGAGAAAGGATATGCAAGGTCGACATCTTACCATATTCTCATTAAAACTTAATATTGAAGCAACATTCCCACAACGGTAACAGTAGTTTGGAGCAGACCACACCTGGAAATATACACAGAATAAGTGGTTAAGTGGTTATCTTCCAAATATAGGATTAAGGGTAAGAAAGGCAAACTAAGAGTGTTTGACAACTGAAAAGTAAAGGGAAAGTGAATTAATGGAAGAACTTTTTTGAAAGAGTACTTTCTCATTACTTTCTATTTCCAAAATCATGTTTGGAAGATATAGAGTTAAAAAGGGGGAAAGTTGAGGTGCGGATGATGAGACGTTTACATTCTTCTTGTTTTGTTTTGTTACCATGGAAAGTCAGAGAAGGAAGTATTAAAACTAAAATAACAAGGGGAAAAAGCACTTTTCTCTCTCCTCTCCCTGCATTTTCCATCCACTTCCTTAATATGTTTAAGTGAAAGGGGCTAAACAGTTGAAATGGGACCCTTCACTTTCCAAGTGCCAAACCTGGGAAAAAATCGAAAGAGCAACCACTACCCAAAATTTTGTTCATTTTCCACTTACTTTCTGGTTGCCAAATACACAAGCAAAAGAAAAAGAATGTGAGATAAAATAGCAAGAACTCATGGAACAAGAGAAAGGTAAAAGTAAAGCCAGTAAATTTCAGAATGAGCAGATTGAATAACCATTAAATTAAACTCACAGTTACAAGGCCTTTGTCTTGGAACATGTACTTAAGACCTTCTTGGACGAGCTGATGGGCGCGACAAACAAGATCTAGATTGTTTATGTGATTGAACTGCAGAGGAAGCTTATCAGTATCTTGAAATGAGTGCTAAGTTAAGACGATTTAAGTTAACAACCAAAATAAACTGTCTGAATACCTCTGATGTCACCCGTGATCCAAATAGCCATCCTGCACCCCGTGGACTAACAGCCCAGGTTTCAATCTCTTCAGGATCGCTCCACATGAGATCACAAAAGGGACCCTCATGAGGAATTTCACAATTCCGATCAATAACTCTAATCTGTCATGGGATGGATCACAAGTGAATGAAATTGCAGGATATATCAACTTTTAAAGCGAATAGAACATGGTTTAGATAGAAATCTGTGTATCTTCAGCACATCTGCACACAATAGCCACACAAAGCCATGACAAATGGCACCTAAAAGTTCATGTTTGCAACACCTCAAACAATAATAAATTATGAGAAATAGGCAACTTGTGTGGAACAATTTCTATCAAATTTAGGAACAATAACATGATATTGGACTAAGTTCCAGTTCTATTAAAAAACATTTTGACTCAGAAACTCAATATCACCATTCTCTTAATAAAAAAGAAGGAAAAAAGAGAACTAAGAAATAGAAGAGAATAGATATAAAGGAAGAACTGAAAAGACAGCGTGGAACATAAGCTTTCAAAATCTTAGTGATGGAGTAATAAGGGGAATCCTGGTTATCACAAAATTGATGCTCTCTGGATCAAACAAGTCCTTAAATCATGAAATGGTAAACTAAAAAAGCCAATAAGCGATACGGTAATGCTGCATCTTCTATCAGTTGACAGTGATATTCCATCTATTCTATCAGGATCTGACTGATATGAATGTTCTTCATATTATAAGTGTTTCATCTAATCTGCTGCATCACTAGTGGAGGAATATGTATTTGCTTCATGAATATCATTTCCACATGGGCATGTGCATATATGACAGAAATGAGCAGATGAATTGATTGAAGAAACAAAAACAAGCTTGTTAATATGAAAGTATGGAGCACAATCAACTAATCTGGAAGACGGAAATATGTTATAATGAACTAAAAGGATTGCAGAACTTACTTCAAAATAAAGGATGAATTATAACTGAAGTGAAATAAGCAGAATTGGTTGAAGAAACAAAAAACGAGCTTGTTAATATGGAAGCATGGAACATGGTCAACTAGTTTTGAAGATTAAAATATGTTCTAACAAGCTAAATGGATTCAAAAACTTACTTCAAAATAAAGGATGAATTATAATAGAAGTGGAACAAACCTGATCAATTGTTCGTATATCGGGAGAAAGACCACCATGGACACAAAGAACCTGAAGTTCCAAAAGAAGGTCATTAACTTCATAAGCATAATAAAAAAGAAATTCCACAGCAGCAGTAAATAAGAAATGCAAGTAACAAGTGTTTCCAAGGGTGATAAAAAAATGGTTTACCAGCAAAGGTGCAGAAAACACTAGTTACTACCGAGGAAACAAAATAACTGCTGGGTGCTAACAGATTAAAGAAGAAATAATATATAGCAAAATGTTTAATCAAATTTGTGCGTAAAGCTACTCACAGTTCCATCTATAATTGCTGAAAGGGTTAGATAGTCGAATACATCAGTACAGTACCGCCAGGCGTTAGCATTTCCATACTTCCGTTGGCATTCGTCATAAAAACCGTAAACCTAGAAACATGATTTCCATTAATACATACACAAAAAAGATTTGCTCAAAATGTTCATATCTTTTAGAGCCCTTCTAAAGACAAATTACGTTTCCATGACAAATTGGCATAGAAGTACAATAGCAGAAAATTGGAATGAAAAATATCCAAAGAACATTTCTTTCCTTATAAGGTGTCAAATCTGAAACCAATGAACCTTTGATAGGTAAAATATACTATTTCACGATAAAGCAATTCCTGAAGGTGTAGTAGATGGAGCAATCCACATTGGTAACTTTGTAGTACTTTTGTGATAATATGAACTCACTTGAACTTTCAATTTCCTCAATGTTGGAACATTGGTAATCCCAACTGGCACGCAAGCCAAACAACATAGTAATATAGCATATTACTCTATTTTTCCTTCTTCGCGAAGTATTTGTTTCCTATCCTTCCATTTACCCATTTGGCTTTCATTTTGCATCAGAGTTGACTCTAGTTACCTGAAGCAAACCTCTCAATTTCCCCCCTTATTTCAGGTTCTTTTCCTTAATTGAATGGGCGAAATTGCATCAGCAAATCGGGAGGTAATTTAACTAACGAACTGACTTTTTAAGGATTTATGATGGACTCCCCTCGTGTAAAATTTCCTGACCAAGCAGAAACATGGAGGTGCTACACTAAGTAGAAGTCAGAAGCAGGAACTTGCTAAAAATCTCTGCTTGAATGACAACCCCATTCTGGTGGAAAAATACTCGGGTTACAAGAATGATTCAAAAAAAGGACCTATGATAAACTCATCAAGAGCCAAAAGACATCAAAGTTGGAAAAAGAAGTACTCCCATAGCTAGCATGAAGATTAAGAGAAGATAGTTCAGAAGGCCTTGGATCAATTTCTTAAAATAATATCCTGAAGTCAAGATATCAAAGTGCTCTCCTAATATGGTTGTTTCTCCACCTTATCACAATTTGGGTAGATCATATTAAGTTATAAATCAACTCGGCGTAATGTAGAGATTTCATAAAAAATATTGAGAGAAAAATCCAAAGAAAATAAGCAATAATAAGTATAACATTTTTCAAGCAACCTGCACAAAGCATGCATAGAATTCTTAAAAGGGCAAAAAGAAAGGATTTCAGACTGATAATTACTGTCAGAAGTGAACACAAACAGAAGACTGGAAACAGATTTGAGGTCACAATTTGTGTGGAACTAAATATAGGAAATCTAAGAAGACAAAAATGAATAAGCAGCTAAAATGGACAACTAAACTGATTAACTTTGTACTGTAAAGACACCACAACATTTAAGTAACCTGGTCACAAATGACAGTAAGACATTGTTCCAAACATATGGCAAAAGCTATGACCAAACTAATAACAGCATACCTGTGTTAATTGTCTGCTTTCATGATTCCCACGCAACAGAGTAATATGTGCAGGGTATCTGGTGGAAATGAAAACAAAAAGAGAAATAAAGATCATGACAAGTCTATGACTAAAAAGTAAAAAACAAAAAGAGAAATAAAGATCATGACAAGTCTATGACTAAAAAGTAACTTACAACAAGAGGTGGCCTATATGGAAGGTAAGCTAGAAACAGATGTCAAGGATCCAAGCCAACAAATCTTACAACAAGAGGTGGCCTATATGGAAGGTAAGCTAGAAACAGATGTCAAGGATCCAAGCCAACAAATGGCATTGGTTATCACAGACAATTTGTCAGGAAAAACCATAACAAGATGTGCAACTAACAATGTCAATGATCCAAAAATACAAGTAAAAAGAAAAAATAAAAAAAAGAAAGGGCCAATCAGCACAAAAATCAGAAAAAGTGTAATGTTATCTTAATACATAATCAAAGGTTCCGGCAATTGCAAGGTGGAAACTTGAAGAAGAGGCATATAAATAAATGAAAATAAAAAAGATAATTTCTTCACAGTACCACTATCATCACAACTTTTAATCTGACTCAATCCAGGTTTGTTTGATCTGCCACTACTCCTACCAGCACCTTTCTTTCAAATGCCATTAACTTAAAAGTTTGGAAAAGAAAAGATTGGACATAAATTTAACAATAAAAAGGTGTGACATAAACACCAAGACACCAGATTCATCAGCTCCACTAATGGTCTAAAAGGATTAATAAAAAAAGTGAAATAAAATGGATATACATCTCTTTGGTATCCATTCACAATCTCATCACACAACACAAAAATCAATTAATAATGTACTATGTAGTAGAGTGTTTTGCAAGTAATACCTGGCTTTAAGTAGCAATAAGATTGTGAAAACTTCCAAACTGTTGTATCCTCGATCAACAAAATCACCCTGAGGGAAATTTATGGAAACAAAATAGTAAGATCATGTTATGAATTTATAGAAAAATAATCCTAGATAATGCAGCACAAGATCACGAATGCAAGATTCACCATAAATATGTAATTCGTCTCAGGAACATGACCTCCAGTCTGGAAAAGTTTCATTAGATCATGAAACTGGCCATGGATGTCACCACAAACTGTAACAGGGCTATTAACAGGCTGGACATTTGACTCCTCGATTAGAATATCCTTCACCTGAGGGATCAAAAAAAGGAAATTTCAATGGAAAGTAGATAGGAAACACTGCAAGTGGGATAGAAATTCATGTAGTCATGGCATCAGCTAAGAAATTAGAGAACCGAAAGGACATATATTTCAGAAATTAATTTGACAAGAACTTTGTCCGAGACAATTTCTTATTACAAATGCACTTGCATTTTACATAATTATGTGTTGCAAAAAGATAATATGATATTTCGTCAGTAAAATAACAATGGTGAAGTTTATGGAACTATTTCATGTTATTCCGTGTATAAGAGTTTGTTATTACATATATGTAAACAATGGGTATGAGAGATAAATGTGTGTGCCTTGCGCCTGTCAAATTCAAATAACCACATGTAGACTTGAGAACATCCGTATCAGATGCCTTTTATGCATCTAGCAACAGGATCTTCCATTCATGATTTATCTCCACAAATCGTTGCTCAGGCATGTCCACCCATCACATGACTATGATGAAAAATATCAAACGGGTGATATAGGTAAATTATCGTGGAGCCATCCATACATTGATTTTCTATATACATAATTAACCTATATATCGTCAATCCTATATTCTATATAGTATATAAATAATCCATAATATATAATATATATAGCTATACATATTACTATAAATACCATACTCGATGACTCACTATATATACTATAGAGAGGAGAGAGGATGGAACTTTGTTACCAAGTATGTTCAAGCACTTGGTAGTGATGTGAGCTAATCTAGCCCTACATAGCCATCGAATTAGGGTCACCACCTTCAAATCCACTCTCAATGATGTAGGGGGATTAGGCCACATAAACAGTTGCTTGGCAACTTGGTACAAGTTTCTCCATTTTTGTTCCTTATTATATGATTAATTATATATATATACATATTACTACTAGAATATAATATACTACATCATTAGAAATGGAGAAACCTTGGTAGAAATGTTTGCTCAAGCACTTGGTAGTGGTGTGGCCAATCGTCCTACATCCATTGGAGTGTGTAAGGTTGTTGGGTCCTTATCTCGAGGTTGATGTGAGGGCAAGGATTAGAGCAATATACATAGTGTTTTAGCAACTTGTACCAGGTTCTCATTTCCTCTCTCCTCCTCTTCTCTTCTATTATTCTATTATGTTGTGTGTGTGTGTATTTACTTAACATATGTGTGTATTTACATTATGAAAAAAAAAAAAAAAAAAAAAAAAATTGTAATAATACATACATAGATGTAATTCGTATGTATCATAGTATAGTCTAATATGTACACCAACCATGATTATATCTATATAATATTTCATACACTCTATATACCTATGATTTATATATAACTAACTATTAATAATACAAATATCTATATTATATTATACGCAGGGTACAAGAGAGAGGAGAGAGAAGAGGAATTCTTATGTCAACAGTGACATCACAAACTTGTCTAAACCTTGTGATACCTAGCGGATCATGAAAGATATAAGAAGCCTTAATAATATATATATATACCTATAATGAATACTACTATAACTATGTATAATATATACCTAAATATATATATATATATGAGTTGGAAAAAAGTTGGTGACAAAAGGCTGATGTCATTAGTTGTCTAAGTTCACCCTCCATTAGTACCTAACTCATAACTATATACTACATAGTAATACCGCTATAAATATATAAATATAATATAACTCATCATCATACATCCATCTATATATATACACAAGGTTTTAAATATCGGATATCGGAAAATTATCGGATGACCAAAATTTATATCAGATTGCGGATATCGGAAAAATATCGGGGATATGTGGTAAATATCAGAATGCCATAACGGATATTTGCATATATAGCATAATGCACTAAAATGTAATCCGAACATACTTCATAAAATCTAAGCATATCAAACGTAAATAATATATGTTTAGGATCATTATTCAACCTTGTAAAACAAACAAAAGTACAAGTCAACGGTGCAACATTTAATCTGGTTTATTAGGGGAAAATGTCATTTGATATAATAGGAAAAAATCATAATATCTCGCCCAAAAATTGCTAATCACGGTATGTTGTTTTGTGACAAGTCATATAAAAAGATATATCAGTCCACATATCGGCCAATATATTGGCCATATCGGGGGTATATCGCCCAAAATAGCCAAAGAGCGGTGAAGGATATTTAGAGATCATATCGGTTGCGGCAAACCTTGTAAAAGGATATATCGGGCCATATATCGGGCCATGTCGGGGATATTTAAAACAATGGACACGGGTACAGAAGACCAAGGGAAATGTTTTCCCCTCGTCTTTACAACCAAAAGTAAAAGATAAAAAAATAAAGTAAAAGATTACCGGGCTCAAGCTTCAGTTACAAAGATTACGAATTTTCTTTACATAATCGGACGTGACTGAGAAAATGGAAGTAGATAGTGTGAACTCCATCAAGAACTTAGATCCATTTCACCTGTTTAATACAAGCATAGGTCCATAGATCCCATGCATCCATCAATTACATTGTACAAAGATTATGTAGATCTATGAGTAGCTAGACAAGAAATTCTAAGAATGTAGTCATGAAGGGACACTATCATCCATGGATCTTACCTTTATCGGGAATAGATCAGAACTGAAGAAAAACGAAGGAGTACCAAAACCTGCCAATTGAAGGAAACCCTACCGAAAGGAGTATGAACTATGGAATAAATGAAATGGAGAGAAAAGATCGGCGCAGATTTTCCATCAGAGAGAAAACTTAGGTTTTTTTTCCTCCCCTTTAAATATTCATTACATATGTTGAGATTACATTTTAATGCATTATACTATGTATGCAAACATTCATTATGACATTCCGATATTTACCACATATCCCCGATATTTCCCCGATATCCGCAATCCGATATGAATTTTGGTCATCTGATATTTCTCCGATATCCGATATTTAAAACCTTGCTTGGTACCAAGCACAAAAAGTTGTGCTTGATAGTGAGGTGACATAATCCCCTCCACTCATTCAAATGGTTGCATATCCATATGTACTATTCAACCCATGTGAATGTGGTCCCCCATTTGAATGAATAGAGGGGATTATGCCACCTCACTACCAAACATAAAATTTGTGCTTGGTACCAAGCATACCCATTTTTCTCATATATATATATAT